CAATACCACATAATTCCTGAAATATGTTTTCAAATGAAAAGAAAAAAGCCAAATTTTACCAAAAATGTTCCAATAGAAGTATTTCAAGAATTGTGAATGCATAATTTGTAATTAGGTTCATTTGGTTGTTTATAGTTTGAAATTTATATTCAAAAAACAAGGGGAATGTATTTGAATGATTTTTTAGAAGAACAGCAATATAAAACTTTTGAAAAATAATTTAAAGTTGAAAAGGCTTAGAAAAATTGAAAAATACGGAAATGTAAATTAAAGTTGCGAAATTATGCAAAAATGCAAGAAGTATTTTTGATCAATGGAGCAATCTGAATCACGGGAGCCCATCTCGTCCTATGATAATTGCAGGAGGTGAAGAGACACCTGAAATAAAGCAATGGCAACAATAATCAAATCATTTCATTTAATTCACCTGTTGATTAGACTGTATGATTGATATTTCTGATGCATGTGATAAAGTCCAAATTTCTGAAACGAAATGAAACATCAAATGCAACAACTGCTGCAGATCATCTATTCCTTTCATAAAATTCATATACACTCGAAATATAGAGGTTCTCGGTATCCTGAAATTTATCAACAGCAATCAGCAATTTTTGATTATAAATGATTTTAAGTCATTTTTCTGACGATTTTTTTTAACGAATTAAAGACTTCGGATTACCGACAGCCTAATCAGTAGATGAAAGAAAGAATTAAATATTGCGACAATTGCAACAAGCTTGTTTTAAAGAATCTCATATACCGTAGCAATTCAATACTAGCATTTTAGTGGAACAATTATCATAAATAGTAGGTTGGTTATTAAAGAATGTACTTCACTTCGGAGTAATGGAGAAAACTTGACAATAAAATGATACAATAATTGTAAAGTTCAAGGTTTTTTTTTTTTAACTTGTCACATATTTTGTCCATATCCATATAATAGGGTTTTGCTATAAAGGGAAAGGGAAAAATGATAAATAATTAATAAGCATTATTTTTAAATCAATACATTTAAAAGAGAATTTATGAAATAAATTTAGTATGATAAGAAACACTAAGTAATACATGAAATGAAAAATAGGAATAAATGGGGTTCGATCATCAGTTATTTTAGCATCACTCGATCAATCAAAATCTAGAATTCTGCTTTAAAGTGCACACATTTAATTTAATCTAAAAGATTTTTTATTTGAAACCAATTCTTGCAGCATATTTTAATTTCTTCTTTCATTAGCTAATTTTTTGACTTGAATTATTTGCTTGTTAGATGAAAATTTGAATATTGAAATAATATGATTGAAAAATTATCCAAATATTCGAAAATTGTATATTAGATCTATGTGGAAGAAAATTTTGCATTATATTATTTTTCATCAATAAATTTATGTATTTCACATAAAATGAAACTTTCTTCAGTTTACTTTCAAACAAATCATCTCAAGTTAGAAGGTTATCTTATCACTCATACAGCTAGATAGATTGATAAAGATACGTTGCATACTCAGAAAATGGAAACAAAAGATTATGAAAAATAGTTGAAACAGTAAAATATCATGTAATCTCCTCACGATAGACATATATCAATTCAATAATCAAAAATCTTTTTTTTTTTTCTTGCAAAAGGGAGTTACAGTGGGTTAACCCAAAATTTCTTATTTAAGAATTATTACCTGCTCGAGTTCAACATCCCAAATTACTACCAAAAATTTGAATAGAAGTAAACTCCCAAAACTTTAACAAATTAGTTACACTCAAAAACATTACCTAAAAAAAAAAAGTAAAAAAGAAAACGAAAGCAAAAAAAAAAGCACTAGAAGACATTATTTTAAGAAAAATGATCAATCTTTTTGATCGAACAATTGTTCAATTCGACAGCTCGCAGTTCTTTTTTTTTTTTTTTTTTGTTTTTTGCAACTACAATTTTAATTACGAATTACTATATAAGGGGATAAGATTTGTGTATTAAAATGATGCAAAATTATTTGATTCATTTCCTTGCTAACAACTAATAATAGCTAAGAAAGATTTTGCAAGATTTGAAAATTTGAAAAATTGGATTCAATGCATTGTGTTTCTGCATAACTTAAGCCACCAATGATTAAAAAAGAAAAGGTCTGTTGAGGAAGTCAAAGATGATAAAATTCCTTTTATAATAACATATTTTTATGATATATATTAATTTTGGTTTACTGCTGCATGAACATAAATAAATGCAAAAACTGTTGACATTTTTGCATAAATTTTGCATAATCAGCTTGTGCATTAAAAAAATTATTTTAAATAATAGAATATTCGTTTAATCAATTTCCACACTTTTTTATTTAAAAATTTAGACATTTTAATGAAAAATGAAAACAAATCAGTAATTAAATTAATGAATTTATTGATTTCTGTGTTTACAAAATGTGATGTGCTATAATTGAGAAAGACTTTTTAATTTTAGTAAATTGGCTTAAAAAGTGGCAACAAATAGCAAAATCACATTCAAGACACAATTACCTATCGGATATGACCGAATGTCAACTTTATCAAAAGTTTTCACAATGACAGTCGTTCTATTATCTATTCACTGGAATGGCAACTATGTCAATTAAACAAGTGCTTTGAACTATAGAAAACTATACTGAAAATCAACCGATTCAAATTTGCTTTCTGAATCTTTTTTTCCTGAATTTAATTAGATGAATTTTATAAAAAATAATACATCATAAATTTGTGAATAAATTAAATCAAAGATTGATGAACAATGAATGATATTTCAAGAAATAATGGTAAGTTAAAACTAAATTCTTCACTTTCAATAAACCACTGAATCATATACCGAACAAATGGTTTAACTGAATGTGGAATTACGAGAACACGACGTTTACTAAAATGATGTCTAAAACTTTTGCTTAAAAATGGCAAATTTTTTTTCTTAGCTTTTTTCTCTTAGCTAATTTCTTACTAACAACCTTAGGAATCCGAAAAAGTCAATTAATCATAAATTACAACCATAGTCTAATTTCAAATTCCTAATACACGACTTTAGTTTTAAAAAACGAAAAAGTGAACGAGATAATAATGATGATTCAGAGCAAAAAACTTATTTCAGTGTTCAATATCAGCTCAGCCAATTTGCTTACACAACTCAAAACTTGTTCTCATCTGTCACTATTTTGTTCCTCACCAACTGACACTGAAATTAAACACCTTATTTTAACTAACCATTGAATTGATTTATTTAACTGTTTAGTCATTTTTTTTTAGCTAACGTTAATGAATTTTCGTTTTCCGCCTGCTAAATTAGTTGCAATTTAATTACTAAAGATTACCAAAATCTGATAAAAATTTGAAAAGTTTGCTAATCCATTTCAAATCATTTCGAGCTAACACAGAAAGCGAAAAAAAAAATGATGGATGATGTTTAATGCGCTATTCAAAAAAGTAACCAAAAAATCCATAGTAATGGTGCAAATTAAATGAATTGATAAAAGACTAACACCTTATTAAATTTCATTAAAAATGCAGTAGTTATCCGAGTGCACTTCCACCGGATAACTAATAACTTGAGCGTTATTTGTAAAAATTCATTATTAGCAAGATAATAAAATATTATAAATATTATAATAAAATATAATCATTATTATTAACAAGAAAATATTATTTATTATTGCTATTATTATTATTATTACCATTATTATTATTGTGTTTTTCCAGATCATCTCCTTTTCCGTTCTACAGTCATTCAGCCTGATATCTCTCTCCATTATAGTTTTGAAAACCAATTGAAATTGAGTTACATTAATTCTGAGTGTTTAGGTCGAGCTACAAATCTTCTTAGGATTGATAGAAAAATACCTGCTGATAAACTTTGCACTAGTTCCTGTTGCTGTTGTGAAAAATATGGACAATGAAACCCATTTGTTACTCCATTATCGTTTTTGATTGAAAGGGCCAGACCTTTTAACCCAAGTTTCTGGAAAATTGGACATGACGGGTAATTTTAACGGCTTAGAAATCCATCTTTTATATGCCATGCGTTCATTAATAACTCGTCTTATTTCTGTTTTATCCTTAGATATCCAAAATTTACGTCTTATATCTGATAGCATATGGATAGTTCCATCACGGTACAATCCTTCATGCTTTTGCTGTATGAAAAACTCTGTTACTCGATTATGTCTTGGTAGATTGGATATTTGCTGCTTCTAACTCTAAACTTTCCAACCGACTCTTTGATTTCCATAACAGAGACTTCATTTATTTGTTTAATTAAGATCCATCTTGCTACATCGTAATCATTGATACAATTGATTTTTTTGCGTTGAAATCGGTTGTATCCAAAATAAGTTTCAAATCAAAAGGATAAATCGAAAATTCAGGACTTTTTTCGAAGTTCTAGAGAAGCTCCATGTTTTTTCCTTCTCCGGCTTATTAGTTATTATTAGATATAAACTGTATATACCTTTGATCTTCTCCAGCACAAAGATAATTACAACATTTGATACCAGCTAATGCTGTTCAAAAAAATTGAAAAACAAGATAACGTTAAATTACTCGATGATATCATTATTTCTCAATCTGATAATTTAGTAGATCTCAGTCAGACATAAATCCAACGTGCCATTTCAAAACTTACTCAAGCCATTAACAACAAATTTAAATAAGTCTTTACCTAGCTGTTTAAAATCTATAATCCACCATCCTTAAGCATAACATGACACTAACAAGCATAATGTAATAGAACTTAACCTATTGCAATTCAAGTGATATAAAATAAAACATATTGCAACTTGGTGCTCGAAATGAAATAAAAATTTGATGAAAAAATTAAACGAGTTAAGTAATATTAAAACAATATTTAAAAATATTGGATAAAATAACACAAATTCCAGATAATGAACAATAGTTATCTTTTTTTAAGAAAACAGAAAATGAAAAATAGTTATTAGTTCATAAACAGATTATTCACATTGATGGAATGAAAAAAAAATACAAAAGTGAACATTCAACAAAAATTAATCGCCCACAGGGGGGGTGGGCTTCCGTGCTAAATTCCGTCTTTTGAGGTAAATTCCTCTTCCAATTCTTCTAAATTCCACCTTCCTCCATATATTATTAAGCATTTCGCCCTTCATATACCGCCAATCCCCTTTCTGTTTCATTTTCATCCTGAAAAACTTATAATGATTATTCTACCATTTCTTTCAACGTTCAATTTCCTCCATTATAACTTCAAAATTTCATTACTATTCGGCGTTTTTGGCGCAAATTTAACGCATCTTTTACACCAGAATTAAAAAGTAACAACACCAACAGTAAATAAAAATCATAAAATCAATTGGTGAGAAATAAAATAAAAGGGGAGGTGAAATAATTACCTACTGCGATATGGATAAGATCTCCTATAATGCATAGAGCATTGCAAGGCTATTCTCGAAATACTGAAGGAACAGTAAATATGTTCGGATGTTCCGGACCTTCTTCATCTGCAGCAAGCATTCTACAAAGTGATCTCAAGTATACCATACATCAGTGATTTCAAGTACATCCTTCAGCTAAAATAAACCATTCATTTGCCTAAGCTAAAGAGATGCAACATCCCATACAACGACATCACTCCACCGTTCATTTTTATTTTGCCAAATAAAACCATATCTACTGAAAAGGAATTTGAAATGCATTTGACGAAAAGTAATTAATTGTCTATGTTGCAAATTAAATAATGTAAGCTATTTCCCAATTTTATATTGTATGAGTCATAAACATTTCTTACAGTACTCAGTTTTGAGATGAACGTGTTTTTTCATCTGAAAGCTTTGCTAAAAAAAAAAAAAAAAAAAATATTATGTTTAGAAATGATAAGAATATTTTAGTTGTAAAAAATTGGAAGTTTAAAAAATAATTGGAAATCGAATCATTTTTATTGAATCTTACCTGCTCAAAAAATTAAATCATACACAAATATAATTTGAGTATCTTACACAAATATAATTTGAGTAGGAATTTGGAATTCTTTTTTTTTTGTATTTTTTCGATTTCTTGCATTTTTGAATTCTTTTTATGAGCTTTCAAATTTCGTAGAAATTTTCGAAATTTTGATTCTTTTGTTTTTTCGATTTCCAAACCTTTTCCGTAAATTTTTGAATTTTTTTCAAAAAAACCTTTTTGATAATAATTTGGAACATCTCAAATGTAGATCTTATCAGAAAATGAAATAAAAACTAACTTTCATTCTTCGAATTAATTTTAGCATAACATAAAGATTTGAACATACACCTGATCAATCATGTTTGAAAACAAAGTGATTTGTTAAACTGATAAAATATAAGATTAAAGAACTACCTAAAGAGTGCGTTCAGATCCTCAATGCTCTATCTTTGTTCGTTTTTAAGGTTTTAGATAATTATTAATTTAGCTCTCATTACATTATCAAATATTTAATTTTATGTTCAGAAATACAAATATACTCTGATATATGTTTTTGCTATCTGATTTATGCAAATGACCCCTGACTTAAAAACATTTTATAACAGAAAGAACTGAACAAGTTTGCTTATAGATTTCAATGCTTGTAATGATGATGTAAGCATTTTATATAAGCGCCTATTCAAATACTCTATTCTCCTGCATCGATATTCGCTGCACATCAGTCCTACTTGAAACGTTAATAGGCTCATCAATTAACTAATTTCGTAGTTTTTTCTGTTTTTTGTTTTTATTTTTTAATCATGGGTTAATCACTCCAGTCCATCTTATTAATTTCATTTGATGAAGTCTACTCTTATTTTGTTTACTTACGTTTTATTTGTAAAATATGGGCACTACTTCCTCCGATGATCTGTTTTTTCCTCTTCCCTTTAGCATTGAGATCTCTCTTTTGCTTATTAATTCTAAGCAATATGCGTTGTTTCTTGTAGATGACATTTTCCGTTCATAAAGTTCCCGACCCGCTAAATGAATGAGTACCTTTTCCATCCAAAACTACTCATACCAACAAATTTAAGGCATTGTTGTCGATTTCGTCATAAATTCAATTTCCCTTGTGGTATTATAGTTGAGCCGTAATGTCAGTTTAGCACGAAATTTGCAATAACATTTAAAATGGGCCTAAATATATTTACCGCCAGAAATGCTCTAGAAATTGCAGATCATGCACAAACTAATTTTCACCTGGGAATTAAAGCGAATATCGGAGGTCATTCCAAAAGAGCATCTCGCACTTTCATCCACTTCACATAATTTGTCGTGGAAGATTTGATAATTTAATTTATTATACTGAGAGAGGCTGTTGATTGCAGCGAGATTCGTTGATGTAGATGTAAATATGTCAATTAAATCCCGCATAAAAGACAAAAAAGAAAGTCTGGAAATTTTCCGACTAGCTACAAGACATCAAAATCATTCCTTTCCTTATGATTTCAAAACACTACTTTGGAACTACTTTTTCTACATTTCTTTGTACCAGTGTACCAAAACATATTCCGAACACCATCGATCTAAATGACACTTACTTTCACTACTACTCTTTATTGGGAGCTCGAGTTTCTTATGATTTTAATTTTAAGCTAAGTAGTACAAGATTTCAATAATATGGTAGTTTTTCTGACTTTTTTCCATACATCAATTCAGCACATACGTGCAAGTCCTTCATGTTGATAATGTCTTCTAAGAGCTCATCAAGACCTGGAGTGGTTTAAATAGCTTCACAGTACCTGCTTAATTGTTATATGTGATGTGGAGCGGTGTATTTCTTCAATTTGTGAACTGTTATCAACAAACAGTCAAAATGAAGCCAAATAGTATATAGCAAGCATTAAAAGAGAATAAATAAGCAGTGAAAAAGAAAAGGACAAAACGAAATAAGAGGTTGAATTGCAAAAGAATTTCAAATCGTTAAGATTTAATCAATCCTCAATGAGGAAATAAGTAGCAAAATAAAAACTTCATATAAAAAAAAAAAAATATTGAAAAAATAAAAAATATAAGTATATATAAAATAAAAAAAAATGAAAATTTCTGACTGTCATATTTTTTTATGAAACTGATAATGAAAATCAAACATTACAATTTATCATTGTTCGTTTCTTTGAAATCCAATAAAAAAAGATTTAGAGCTTAGTAAGCTCCAAAATTTCTTATTAACACATGGAAAAAACATAATGAAGAACAAGTAACGCAACCACCATCAGGCTTTTTTATCCACCCTAATGGATTATCTGAAGGGCTGCAACAGCAAAGGCAAAAGGCATATTAAAGCAAACTAAGTCAAACTGTGATATTTCTTCTTTATATAGACCGATATATTCAGCCAGCTGAGTGGTAACACTTCTCAAGTGCATCACTTATTGTTGAATTATTCAGTTTGTGATTCGGAAATTTACCAACATAGCGTAGAAATCTGAAACTGCTATTATTCAAAGCATTTTAATGATTTAAGTAGAAAAACAGATAAGAAATCCTAAGAGCAAATAATTTTTGTTGGAAAGTCAAAATTCTCAAGTCGAATTTTGAATTAAATTATAAGCAGAAACATTTCTCAGGAAGGCATCAATTCAAACTAGTCCGCGGAGATTTTCTGTGACAGTTTGCTCTTCCAGTAAAAGGTACGACAACTGGACTGAAATGCAAAAGAACCAAGCACAAATACAGCCGGAAGCCAAAGGAATGTTGGAATAAAAGAATTCATTCAAAGCAAGCTTCAATTAATTCAGATTGTTTAAAAAGAATAGAATTTAAAGAATATGGAAAGGAGTAATCCCTCGATCTGAAATGCATATAGAAAGAGCACAATTATAGAAAAACATAGTATAAATATTGAAGAAAGTAACAAAATCATCAAGTTATTAGATTGAATAATTTCGTTAGAAAAAACTGTAAAAAGAATACAGAATGTTGAAGCCAGCAAACCAACAACTGTACAACCAATACTGGGAAGCAAACTATTCTAACAACAATTGGATCTAATTGAGATTAATCTTGTTGTATTATCGAGAACTGAAAATGCTGTAGGATGATGTGTCAAATTGCAAAAATTTCTCCTCAACTTCCACTGCTTGTCATACGCCTAGCAGATCATTATTAAAGAGATATTATGTAGTTTACAAAACAAACACAAAACAAATCTTTGAAAGAACCAATCTTTCAGAAAACTTAATATCCTCCTTTTTGCATCAGCAAGGAAATTATATAGTGTTGAAATGTCAACTGATTTGAAATTAAGAACAGATACAGTTTAAGAAAAAGCAAAGAACAACGAATATCAAGCAACAAAAAGTTAACATATTATACACAACATAACATGTAATACAAATTTTACACACAAAGTATCACCTAACAACTTTTAATTTGTTTTGACGTATATAAGCCACATATCGACTAAATATATATTGAAATGGAGAAACTTCGACACTCATTTCAAAAAGGGTCAAGATCGCAAACTAAAAAAAGTCCAGAAGATTCCAATAGTAATATCGCCCCGAAGTTCAATAAAAAAAAGAACCAAACTAACTACAGTCGACAAAAACGCTTTTATTTCCTAAAATTATGGCAAAAGGAAAATCGTAGACCTATAGCAAAACAATCAGTTACAAAGAGCGCCTATTTCTCCCTATAAATGACGAATGCGCTCCTCCAGCCAGTATATCTAGTCCTGTATTCCTTACTACAATAATTCCTTATCTTCTTTTGCATACAACCAGGTCTACAGAGGAATAAATATGTCTCGAAATTTTTATCTCAGTGAGGCGATCTTGTTGGATTATCGAAGGTTGGAAGTGTTGTAGAACATAGCAAATTATTAGAAGTTAAAACGTATTAGTCAGTTTGGTCGTTTGTTATGCAAATTTAGTGCAGGCGGATTTATCATAAATTGTAAATGCAGTTGTTTGCTGAAATAGACATATATATTCATCCCTCTGCAGACTTCAATGCCTCTATACAGGGCTTAGGCTTACAAAAAAGAGAAAATGTAGTAGTGGAAAGGAGGGAGTGCTTTCATCGTTTGTTAGGAGCAGGCGCTCATTGTAATTGTTTCGTCCCATGACAGTAGGTCTACGATTTCCCTTTTATTATCATTATTACTAAATCGTTATTATCTATCATTATTCATATTTATTGTTTATTATTTATTATTATTTATTATCTATCATTATTTATTACTATTTATTGTCACTTATTTATTGTTTATTATTATCAATTATTAATTATTATACATACATATTCTAAGTACGTCGCAAAATTTCATTTATTAGGTTCTGCTTTCCATATTACGGGCGTTAAAGCATATGTATTATTATAGGTTGTTCCATGTCTGCATGCTAAATTTTGTGTGTTAATATGTCATAATAAAATTTTATTAAATCTAAAGGACTAAATTTGTCTTAATATGGTTAAGTTTGATAAAAGTTAGACGAC